CCCAAAATTCCATTTTTCTGCCATCCCCTTTTGTTTGTTCACTGTTTTTTTTTTTTTTTGGTACTGGGGATCGAACTCAGGACCTTGCACTTGCAAGGCAGGTGCCAGAACCACTGAGCTAAATCCCCGGCCCGTGTTTGTTCATTGTTACACTGATGCTCCCTTTATCTGGGTGACTTTCAGCTCCTTCCTCACCCCCCTTTCCTATTTTCTACTTTCCTTCCCTTTCCCTGGATTTCATTCAGTGTTGGCCTAATGAGCTAGTCCTATGGCCTACCTCCCCCTCCTCCTTGTTGCCATTTCTGAATCTTGATTTTTATTTTCCTTCTCTTATATTTTCTCCCTCTTTTCTTAGTTTTAAGGGATTTCTTTTGATTCTATGGATCTTTTTGGAATGAGGGGCATGGTAAGAGGTAGGATAGGTGACAATTCCTTCTGAGTTATAACCACTATGATTATGTAAGAGCGGTATCTACTCCCAAATTATAAGGTCTGCATGAGATGATGCGAAAAATATAATGCCAATGAGATAAGACTTTTCAGTTGTCAAATCCCCAGAGCTCTAGGCAAGCTGGCTTCCTTGGCTGTTAGGTCCAGAGAGGAGCAGAATAGCCCTGGGAGTTTGCCTTGATACGACTCAGCTGGGGAGGCCAAGTGTAACTGTGTAAGTCCAGCTGCGTTTCCTTCTTACCCAGCCTGAGGTCCCAATGTTTAGTCCAGAAGTCAGGAAGGGACAGAATAGCTGTTAGAGGCTGGCCCCAGCAGCTCAGGGGGTCCTTTCTCTTCTCTTCTACCCTTGTCCCCATCCGCACACAAGATCTTAGGCCAGAACTTCTAGTGGAGTACCAGGGCTTCAGGAATGGACAAAGATAGGAAGAGGGGTCTCTAGGTAACCTGGTCAGAAAGAAGAATCTAATGGGATGACACGAAATGGAGCATAGGGTGGAACCCAGGACACCAGGCTGGTCCTGTCAGTGGGAACTGAGCTACACTCCGGCTCCCAGGCCTCTCTGAGAACTCTCATGTGGGCCTGGAGCAGCTTTGCCAATATTTGTAATACTGCTTATCTTCCAGAGAGATTCCTGCAAGATAATGTTCTCTGCAGTCATGGCAAAAATGCAAGGTTTCTTTTGTTTGTTTCTATTAAGGGTAGGTAGGAGCATGTAACATAGAAAGGAAAGTTTATAAAACCTCAAAATCGATGGTCCAGTAATGAGCATACTTGAAGCCAATCAGGATGACTGTTGATCATTTGAGTGCTTAGAATTTCTCTTATGGATTACTCTGACCTCTGTTTTCTCCCTACCCCTCTCTCTAGAAGCTTATCTTTCACATTATCCTGGTCATTAATGGTACTTTTAGGAAACTCAAAAGAAGAGGGTAAAGTTGTGAAATTATAATTAGTCAACTGTCCTCTTTATGAACTTTAGACAGGATGGCTAAACTTACTGGACTGTCTCAATGTTCAGACACACAAGGACAATTACACAGGCACTACGGGCACATACAGGTATGTAGATCCCATGTGAGATGTATACACATACATGCACTATACACATATGCACAAACATACAATACACACAGAGGGAAATGCATGTGAAACATACTTATGGAAGTACACACTGGTATACATACATGTACACACAATATGAGCACGTGGAAATACTTATACATATACAGGCATATTTCCACACACAGATACACAGGAACACACAGAGAAACATTTGCAATCAAGCACCATAGAAAAGTTAATGTACACATATGTACATACAGAAATATGCACATCCAGAAATGCACAGGGGTAGACACACAGAAATAATACACAAGCACATGCTTTCTAATTTAGCTGTGGACTTTATTTCTATTAGCACAAGTAATAGTGTTGATCATACCAAATTTCCACTATGTAACAGCAACCTTTACATCATTTTATGGTTATTAAAGGTTTTTTACCATCCTAACTTTGAAAATTTGAGAACCCAGAGAGAGTAGGCAATTGGGTCAAGTTGACACAGCTAGCAATTGGCAAAACCTGGACTGGAACTCAAATCCTGTCATTCTCAGAACTGTTTCATTACAACCCCCAAATGAGAACTGAAAGCAGAAAGAACAGAGAAAAGACTTTGCACAAGTTTTCTGCATTAATTTTAATGCAAAAATGTTGCAAATAGTTTTAGAGTACCATATGACATGAACATTTTCATTTTTTATAACTGGTTTGCAAGACCACAGTGGCCTTTCCACCCTCTTGATAAAATCCTAGCCAATAAAAGTGAACAGGACATTTCTTACTCACCATTCAGAAGTCTGATGTTGAGAAAAAGTAGCAGGATGAAAACCATTGTGGATGTCACATTTTCCTTCATGTTGGCTCCTTTTCCTTGTTATGGGAAATGTATCAGAGAATTCCTGAAAGAAGACACAAGCAACTTTTGTGAAATGACAGTCTGGTGAGGCACATGAACCACTTTGTTCTGGGTGTTTGCAACTGATTCTTGTCCCTTGCATAAAGTGAATGACAAAGCAGAAGGAAGGAAATGTAGGAAAATGTAACATGGGATGGTTTGTCTCAGAAGCATTGATTCACAGGAGCTGGGGAAAATTCCACCACTAGAGGTCATCAGATGACAATGTAGAGAGTTCAAGGGTGCTGTGGGTTGCTCCTTTTCATATTCCTGAAAGAAAAATTGTTCTCTTTTCACTCCATGGCATTTAATAATATATCACCCACTTAATGAGACATAGATTGTATGTGCTACAAGAGAAACATTCTAGGAGTGTTGTGATCCACCAGCCAAAAACAATTCAGGCTGAAAAGTCAGTATTCTCAGTGACTGCATTTAGCCCAATTGATTCATCCAAGAAGAAGGTGGGAAGGACCTCCTCTGGGGGTTTTGCTGAGAAGGTTCCAGAAGTCTGGGTTTTGCACATGGCTGTGAAGCAAACTCCACAACATACTCTGTTGACCTTCCACGTGGTTTCTTTCTCCTTTTCGTAAAACCCCATAAAAAGTGATAATAGACTCTAGTAACAATTCATACCTCTTGGGTTTGGAGTGTTAAGTAAATTTCAAACCCTCAGGGGTTGAGAATTTTGAGCAATTTATTATTAATCTATTTTTTTACCCTTGGAACAGCTTTCAAAGCCTCTAAATGTCCTAAGAAAAAAGGATTTTAAAAAACATTTTGAAAAGGCTCATTAGTCTTATTAGACTTCAAACAACCTCAGAAAACAATAGATTTGGTGAAATAAGAATAAATTCTCAGAAACACATGTCTTTAATTTCCATTTGAATTTTATTTAAATAAAGGGAAGACATCCAGGGGAAAAGATGGCCATCTTGGGTCATTTGAAATGCCGGAGTATGGTTTAATGATCCCCTACAAGACCAGATTTTGCCCATTTCCCCAGAGATGGTGAGTGGTTCTCCATCTCCCACTGCATACCACTTAATGGACACCCTTTGAAGGCTTCTTGAACCTACCACTACTTCTTGTGAGACATACTCAGAAATAGAAATCTTAGTGACAATAGAGGTTTGGGGTACAGAGGTACCATCATGAAGCTCCTTTATATTAAGGGTCTTGGTTCAATAATGAATCTTGGTTCACTAATGGGTCCTGTGAAGTAGCCATGTATTGTTCTTTAGCAGACCTTTCATTTGCATTTCCAGTATTCCTTCCAAATGCCCTTCCTGCTTGGCCATTCTAAACCACCTGTTCTCTCTAGCCTCTCAATGTCCTCTGATTTAAGTCAAGTGGTCAAGGACTCCTAATAAGTTTAAAATTATTCTGACTACTTCTGGAGCACCTGCTATGAGAGAGGCACTGAGCTAAGTACGTTATTAATTTGAAATTCATTTTGTCCTCAAAACAACCCCATGGATAGGTACAGGTCACTAGCATCCAATTTTAATAGATGAGGAAACTAAAAAACAAACAGGTGTAGTAGATTGTCAGCCACATGCTCATGGGAGAGAGTATTGTATTCTGGTAAATCTGAGGACATCTGATAAATCATCTCAATTTGATGGATGATGCAATTATTCTCCCATGTGAAAAAAAAAGCAACTAACCTGAGGTGAGCAACACATCAGTCCTTGGGTGAGCATGGAATCCTGGCAGGAACAGAAAATGCTAGCGCTGAGAAAGATTATCTCACCTACTGATTTATTTATGCTTGAGTATCTCAAAAGCTGTCTGTCTTTTGAATCCAGCCTCATTAGATACACCTAATCCAGAAAGAGCTCTTTGTCCTGACATCTGGTGATCTCAGCCTGGCTTGGAAATGAGATTTCGCCCATGGACTGAAGACTCTTTATAATATGTCTTTATACTCTGTTGGGCATTGCATCAAAATGCTTAAAATCAACATGCCATAAATCACACCTATCAGGTGAGAACATTTGCAATCCAGATAGCTCTGCCAGAGCACGACTTCATATATTTTGAACAAGAAATGCTGAGATGAGTAGGATGGGCACAGGCAGTTGATTTAGGCCTCTACTTATACTTCTTTGTGGGTTGGGGCAGGATCAAAGAAACTATGCTAATTAAAGATTTTCCTATAATAATGCTTTTAGGAAGCATTTTATGTACTAAAAAGAAACAATTTTGCTCTAGGATTTCTTGAGACATATCCGGGATCAGTCACTACTATATGCTTTCTAATGCCTAAAACCTTCATGCCAGGTAATTAGACATACTCATAGTCATATTGCAGCTGTGTTTCAACAATGATTTCCCAATTTATTTTGCATCTCAGTTCCCAGCGAAGGAAACATCATTGGATAACTATACCTTCAGAAATAAAGATAATGGCAACTACTCATGCCTAGGGAAGCTATGCTGAATGTTAACCCTCATTACATACTGGGTGAGTCCTAGCACTAAATCAATCTCCTACTGACTTACTGACCAGTTTTTATGGCAGGCAGACAGTAGGATGAGTATGAACTTGGCTTTTATCTCTTTAAATCCATTCTCCATTGCAAGAACTTGAACAAATATAGGCATGGCCCTCCTTATTTACCAATTCAATTTGGGCTGGAACATCCAATGAGGGTCCAAGTTTTTCATGATGTTATAGATGCAATTGGCTCCAAATATTTGGAGTTTAGGTAGCAGAATATCAGCCTTGCATACCCAGTCCAGGGCCCATCAATCATCTGAGGCTTTGCTTCTCTCTAGCTCTCTGGATAGGACTGTGGTTTAAAAATGAACAAATAACAGTTTCTCTAGAATGAGAAACTGAAAGTGTAAATAAGGACTAAAAGGTATAACAGATAATGTGAAATAGGAAGAAAAGG